CTAGACTAATTCGACTCAACATTTCCAAAATACGTATAATTTTTTGGGAATAATCCATATAAACTATGCTATAAACGAAAAATTGTAAGATTACTTACAGAGTGTGCACCGTTCGACTACGCCGTTGCTTAAGCTTGTTTTTCGTCGTGGAGATTGTCATCGAATGGCGCTCGCGTGCTTCCTGGTAAATTATTTCTTTTTGTGAAAAATTCGCTGAACTTTAGAGACATCATTAATATAAATATAATTTTAATGGACGTTAAATAATAAATGGTTTTTAGTAGGTCCGCTGCTCGTTTAAAGTCAACGGTTTGTGCAATCCTGGCGCGACAGGAGTCGGCAATGACATTTTACCGAATTATAGGAGTTTTTTTACATGTTTGTACGAATACTGTCGCAATTTTTTTGCCGTGATATAGGAACCCGAACTATAGGAACCTGTGTTATAGGGGAGTCGACTGATATATAAATGAGATTTCTAGCTTGCTAAAAAGTGAATAATCATAAACAGAAAAAGTCATAGATATTACAAAAATCAGGAAAAATTATCATATTTTTTAAAATCAAATACAGTATTTTTAAAGTAATTTTCTGGAATTTACTGTCATCTTACTTTTGAATTTGTCATTTTCATGTTTTCATTTGTCATTTGTCATTTTGTTGAATTTTCATTTTCATATATATTTAACTAGTAGGCCTATAATTTCATTTTGGGAAATAAATGGTGATAGTACAGAATTCAATGTTGAAATAAAAACAGTCACCCATATTTTCTATGTCCAATTATGAAGTAACTCCAAGATGTACGCTTTATTCGAATTCTCACAATCTTTCGTGCTTCTGTATACAAATTTTAATTCTTTTATTTAATTCAACGTTAATTTAAAATCTCTTTATCTGTTATAGTTTACTGAATTTTTTTTGAAAAAAAACATTTGATAGTCAATCCAGTCGGTATCTATAAATAGCTAGGAACTTATTGCTATGTTTATATGATATATGCTTAACTTCACATAAAAAATATTCATTTACTTATTTCCTTGGAATAGTTTGAACTGTAGAAATCATATTTAGTTTTCTAAACTTTCCACTTATTGAACTGCAATTTCTAAAAATTGCAGACTTATAACTCCGTATCGTCGGTCTGGTGTCTGTCTGACTATTTTTTATTAATCTGAAAACGGAGTTAGATCGATAAACGATACGATCATATATGGAAACCTTAGATGCAGAAGGCCTAAATTAATTAAAGAAGAACTTTTGGTACAAAATGCAAATCATGTTATTTCAATTCAAAAATTTTTCCCTGCAAGTTGTTAGATGATTGCTACGACTCTATTGTTATTGAAAAGTATGGTGTACCGGAGCAAGCCATTACTAATTTGAGAGGGAACGCATATATTGATATTTGAAGTTAAATAAATTGAAAATATGATTAAAAGTAGCAGCCCGGCGTTGTCAGATTGTCACAATAAATAATTGTTTGTATAGTTATAAATTTGTAGGAGCTAAGGGCAAAGTTTGTATTCTATCTTCTAATATATTGATATATATCTCATATGTTGACATGACTATATCGTAATACAGCTATTTTAATTTTTGTGCTGAATTCATTTCACGCTGATTGCTTCTAATTAAGTTCGTGAGCACATACCTCACGACTTGTTAGTTAAATGCCCTACAAATTCAAAAGCAGGGTTCTTCACTGCTCTCATGCTTCTGTCAGAATGACGCGATAGAATGGAGACGTTAGGAAATAGCGGTGGCAGACACAAGGACGTACAAAAAGTTCCGAAAATACACGCAGTTAATCTGATTGAAAATTCTTACAATTTCTATGGTCTGTTACTCGAAATGGTTCTGAAGTTCAGGTAAGAGTTGAGTTAGTAAAACATTGGCTGATCGCTCATTAGGTTCAAATTCATAAAAGAGGAGACATAGTCAATCATTCGGGTTTCAACCGAAACAAATTCCTTCATAAGAAACAATATAAAATAGAATAATTAATTCCTAACCCCGAAAACAAAACCTATGTTACACTTTTATCTGTATTTTATGCATGAAAATGCCTACAAGTTCGATATAATATATAGTATTAATATAATATTATATATGTATAAAGGAAGCAAAAGATTCTAACAACAAACCAAACCGAAACCGAAAGCGACACTTTACGAAGTGCTCTGAATAGATACTCTACTCTCACTTCAAGCATGAAATATAACCAAAGCAATAAAGACTGACAATAAGCACTTTCACACCTTCCGAAATATTACGTTTTAATTGCTTTGATTTAAATTATATTTTATTTAAATCGAAGACCATAATCATATTATTCAACTGTAATAAACGTTAAAAAGAACTGTTATTATTTCATATTTTTTAGATTAAATTTGAAAACAGAGAAATTACAAAAATACTTCAAAGAATTGATGCTTGTTTAAATTCTAATCAATTTAAAACTAATTAATAAGTAAGTTACATCGAGAAAATCAAAACGCTCCTAAATTAAAAAGTTATCCGTGTTCAAAAAACAAATTCTCTAAACTCGGATAACTTTACCATAGTTCAATCGAAATTCATGAAACTTCAAAAACATGGAGAAACTGTCTAGATTTTAAATTTCAATAAACATCATCCAAAAATGTAAAAACACCTTTTTGTTATTAAGCTTTAAAGATTTAGCGTTTTTTGATTACATCTTATCTGAGAGTCAATTATATTTTCTAACAAATAATTTTTACACACGCGATGGTTCTACTAAGCACTGTCACATCAAAATGATAAAAATCTAACGTGAATTTTTTTAAAACTTAGACCAAAACCGCAAATTTATTCCGGAAGCCTATGCTTGCTTACTGCTCACCCAGGCAAATATATATAACAACAGCACACAAAAGTAGATTGATTTTCTTTTGTTTGATCTAAAAACGATAGTCCTGAAAACGCGATACAGAAATAAATTTTTTTCCTTTATAAATGAAGGAATACGTGCTGTGTCTAGAAAATAAGGAGACTGTGATCGCCTGCACGCAATAGTCGCTCGTGGGCTAAATTGTGTGTGTGGACTTTGAGAGAGTTAGAACAAGCACAGCACGTCTCCACTTGCTACCGCTATTAGATTACTGTAAATGCTTGCAGCAAGTGGAGGTCCGAGCAACATGTCGGAAAAATGGCAAGCTTGAAAATGAAACAGCATATCAACCAAAAAATCTTTGGTGAAATTGAAAAAACTTCCATGATTTTTATAATCTGCTGCGTGAAGCGTACAGCGACACATCTTGCTCGTGCATGTGTGTTAGAATAGCACAAGAGATTTTCTGAAAGCCGAGAGAATATGAAAGACAGTAAAAAATCTGGACGGCCTAGCGCATCAAAAACCATGGAAAATGTACGAAAAGTAGAACAAATTTAAACCAATACTACTACAAAGAAACTCTGGAGTTTAAGTTATGTAGGAAATGGTCAGACGAAAGCGATAAAACTTGTGGCAAAATGGCTACATCCTCCATCAGGACAACGCACCAGCTCATCCCGCTCTGTCAGTAAAGCAGTTATTGACCAAGAGGAGAGACGCACTTCTTGAACGCCCACTGTACTTTCCTGACTTAGCTCCATGTAATTTTTATCTTTTACCTAAAATCAAGTCTGGCTCTGAAGGGACATCGTTTTGATTTGGTTTCTGCTGTGAAGAAAAAAACGAAGCTTCTGCGTAGAAGCTTGGAGATAATGTCCGGCAGCACTGATACGTTCATTGGAAGTCGGTAACGTAACGCTGTTTGGAAGCAGAGGGTTATACATTGAAAGGGAACACAACTAAAGTGAGTAAACTACTTAAGATTTAAAGTTTCAGCTTCAATCTCGTCATTCTCTATCCAAATTCTGTATATATATAAAAAAGATATATTTATACAAAATGATTAAAAATTATACAGCCGTAATTGTCAACCGCTTTTACTTTGTGATGTTTCAATGAAGATTTAAAACATTCATGTTTCTGTTGTATCAATGAACTAGTTTGTTGCTGTGGCATCTCATCAATGCTATCACTTTTCAAAATGGTAACAAATAGAAATTGCATATATAACTACGATTATATTTTGAATTTTTCCATTTTTGTAAAAAATTTAACAATATGGATTGAAGAAATGAGTGTTTACTTTTAACTTTTAACTTTTTTGTAATTTGATACCTAAATGCAAAAGAATAAACATATCAAATTTCAACTCTATAATTTAACTCAACTTACTCCCATTAGCATCAGGTTTGTGTTAAAATTTTCAGGTACGTTTTATCTTTAAAGGTCAGAGGAAAAAGCTTTGTTAATTTTCTCCAGTGAAAGTATTAGACTAGTGATATGGAAAGTATAGATACTCCATTGTGTAGGTCAATAGTCTGCTAATTGTTTCATTTCCATTTTTACAAAACTCCCTTCTCCCTTAGGATTAAGTCAAATACAAATGTGACTGTATATTGTACTGTGGGAATGAGATTTTTTAAAATTTAACAATGTTTTTTGCAAAAAGTGAAAACTAGAATTTTATTTTTTAACTTTTAACGAAAAGTTTTGCTTTCAAAATTATCAATTGTTTTATTTATTGAAAAATTTCATTTAAATGTGATTTTGAAAGGATGGATATATTGCTATAATGGAGATTTGAAAATAGGAAATAAACCTTAAGAATAAAGCTGATAAATTTGTAACTGCTGAATTAATATAATACAAGGATTATCCCTAATACATATTTACATAATATACTAAATTATTCCAGAAAAAAATATATCAGACATGTTTATAAAGATGGAGGATAATAAGGATTGGAAATTAAAAAGACTCATTTAATTAAATTGCTGTTTGCCATTCGAACTTACGAAAAGAAATCACTGCGATTGTCATAAATAATTTGTATAGTCATATTAGTACAACTATGGCAATATTCGTATATTCAGTATAAGAAGTTTTTTTAAACACCAGTAATAAATGAATAATTTATTTTCAGTTGGATTTTTTCGATAGTAATCAAAGGATCAAAGCGACCGTTAAAAGAAGAAGATCTATATGAAACCTCAAAATATCACACTTCAGAGTATCTTGGGGATTTACTTCAGAAGTAAGTTAATCAATTTGTATTAAAAATTCTGATTAAGTTAAATATTTTTTTAAGTTATGCAATGACAAATAACTGGAATGTTATTTCGTTACATTACACGTAGTCTTATCAAATATGAAAAAAACTTGATTATTAATTAATATTTAGTAATTACTATCATTAGCTTACTATGACTATTATATATGTGAGGGACGAACAGACCCCCCATTAAAGTGTTATTTTAAATTTTAAGATTTGGAAAATATAATCGGTTAAATTCGAACATTTTATCGAGTTAGGCTAAAAGCCATAAAAATTATTTCCCACGGAGTTTGTTCCTTGTTGAGTCGAATCAAGTTAGTCAGGGATGTGTCACCAGGAACTTTTGAGGGAGAATCCATATTGGACGTGCGACCGTTAAAGGCCATCACCTGACCTCATGGAAAAAACCCAAGAGGAAAACAAAGAGAAAAAAAAAACGATCCCGAAGTCAGTCGTCATCCGAAGTCCCTCTACAGAAGTCGTCATTCAGGCCCGCCCAACCAAGTCGTTCTCCAAATCATTAAAACCGTGCCCCAGGATTAAAACCGGACCACCGAATTAAAACCGCGACCAGGATTAAACCCGAGAAAAACATTCGTGCTGGATTAACCCTCTACACTCCTCTGTGCCTCCACCCCAGTGAACGGACAATATTCTGATTCAAGATTCAACGACAAGATTCAAAGAACTGTCCATCAAAGAACTGTCCCTTCAAGATTCAAAGAACTGTCCATCGACAAGGTATTTATCAACCCGCGATTCGGTTGTAAACTCTCTCTCCGCGGCCTAGTATATTTAAGGATAATAATATGCCGATAGTATTTAGTATCTCTGTGTAGTATTTAGTTCGACTTAATTAAAATCGTTATTTACTTGTTACTATGGAGTCCGAGTAAGTTACTTCCGCGTCTCTCTCCTCACCTCTACTCCGAATCCAAGCGCTCACACGCTACCGCTCGCGAATCTTTAGACGTAACGTCACGATTTCCGAGTCCCCCAGAGACTCGGTGGTGTCAGATTCAGCCCTCCTGACAGGGCTCCAAAGAGGTGCCGACCCTACGGTCACATATATTAATAGGAGTTTTTACACTGGTGTAAACTCTGGTTGAATAATATAAGATTTTATTAAAAAGGAGCAAATATAGAACATTTTCTTAAACTTATAGCCTAATATAACCGTTTGTTTTTGCATACAGAAGTTACGTGAATACAATAAGTCTCATTAACATATTACACTCTTAATAAACTAATAATAAATAACAGTCATAAAAAAAATAAAAAATTAGTAAACATCCATTACAGTAAATTACTTATTATGGTAGCTACTTGGAAGAAGGTAATTGATATGAAATAAATAGTCTGAGAATTATTAAACAGTTTTTCTCCTGTTAAAATACTCTTGTTACATTATAACTTACGTAAAGTTTTAAATCGTTTTTATTTGTAATAATTTTACATGTTTTACATTGTTACAGTGCTTTTGAAGATTTTTCCAGCTATATTTCATAATGCATTAGTTTATGGTTTTTGATAGAAATAAATAAAACGAATTCAACGAATTTTTCAATCACTTGTGTTTCTTTATTCAGCTAAAAAAATTATTTCAGATCTGTTTTAGTGAAAAAATAAAATAAACCAATTTTTTAAAAACATTTATTTCATTATTTTAATCGAAGAAAGTGAAGTCTAAGCTTTTCTGAAAATTACGAGTACAGTAGACCCCCCTATAACGCAGTAAATCAGTGTTGCCGTTCCTAGTACATTTGTACTTTTCTGGTACATTTTGCCCTTTCCAGTAAATTGAAAGTACATTTAGATTTTTAGTACATTTTCAGTACATTATAATATTTCAAGTACCATTTACGGTACAATTTAATATGTCACGCCCTAACGAAAAAATGAGAAAAAATTAGTTTAATTAATAAAGTCTCACTAGTGTCACTGCTTGCTAATTTAAATTATCCAATCACAACATACAAATGGTGTGTGTCCGTCGACGTCAGCAACATAGATAGTTGCACGTGTAAACGGTCTTGAC